GGTCCGCGCTCCGGCCCCGGGCGCCCCTGCGTGTGCGGGGCCGGCCGGCTGCGGGGTCAAACGCACCGTGCAAAGGTTTCGTCGCCTTGGGTGGAGTTAGTAACCCTCTCCTTGTGCCAAACTTAAACGATCAAGCACAACATGGCTCGGCAGAACTTAATGAAGCAGTGTGAGAAAGATTGCTGCAGACTCCCACTGGGCGGCTGGTTTTCAACTACCTGTATCTTCCTTCACAGAAAGACCCAAATTACCAGATAATTATACTCAGGACACCTGGCAAAAACTTCATGAAGCCGTGGGAGCGATACAGAGTAGCATTTCTATTAAATACAACCTTGAAGAGCTCTACCAGGTAAGGCGTGTAGGGTTTTTTTCAGTTTAACAGAAGGAAGATTAACTGCTTTGGGACTTTCACAGAGCTACATATTTAACATAATGCATTTTGATTTGTTAAAAGCTGATTATATTTTCTGAACTGCTCACTCCATACTCTGTTTCTTGTCAGTTTGTGGTTTTATATGGCGGTTCATTGGAGAGTTACCAGGATCTGGGCCCATGGAAAAGCAGTTTATGTTGGGAGACACGGAAAGCTGTGCCTGGGCAGGGTTGAGATTTAAGTCTCGAGCTCTCCGGTATAGTGCCTACCCAAGATGCCAAAAACAGGATGTTACTCTTGCTGGGTTATGCAGATACATATTTTATGATGATTTCTCTTTTGTACATGCTTTGGTCTCTTGTGAATAGTGATGTTGAAATATTTGTTATTATTAGATAATAACAATTAGACTTCAGCATCAATACGCTTTGGGGAATTGAAAAGGAGTCTTGGTTGAGCAGGCAATAAACTGTCAGTTTACCTTGGTTTAGACTACTGTTACATTTTCATAACAATCGGGATCTTAATTTTTTTATTAAAATGGTGAAAAAGTATTTCTGGAACATTTGGACAATTGGAGCAGGGGCTAGGAAGGGTAAAAGAGAGAAATACTCATGAACCATTTCTTCCTTTGTACTTTCTCCATTTATATATGGTTTAGTTCTGTATTATTTTAATGTATGTTCTTTGAGATATTTAACTGAAGCAGTAATTTTTTTACAGTGATCATGTTATAAAAAATTACTGATGAGCTAAGTTGTGCTACATAGCTTAAGTTAATTATGAGTTTTCTGTGGGTGCAGGTCTTTGATCTGCAGATGTGGATCTCATTACCAGATCAGGACTTAAGACATTGTTATGCTCACCTAAAATTTTCTAAATGTTCAGCTGAGGTAGGTTTGATGTTGTCTGCAAAGTGCAGACGGTGAGAGAGGAGAAAGCCAGCAGTCCATATTGAGTCCATGCTCAAGAAAATCAGGATGAATTTGAGAGCTGACTATACTTGTCTCTGTGATTAGTTAGGGTATATAATATATGGGTCTAAAATGGCTGATTATGTAAATGCATATTGACTTAGTATAATTTATTCCCTTTAAATAGATAACTTGACTGATACATTCATCTATTAATACTTGCAGGTTTGCAGAGTTTGAATTACATAATACATTTGAAAAATGTATTTGAAAAATCCTGCTTTTTCATGCCTAGCTAAAAAAAACCCCACAGATGCTTTGAGTGTTACCTAACTTGTTTTCAGAGGCTCAGAAATGAGATTAGAGTAATATGGCTATGAAATCGCCGGGGTACAGACTTAGTTTTGACAGAAGAGGAGGAGAGAGATTTCAGATAAACTGTGAAGGGAGAACTGTACTTCTTGCCTTTTCTGTTTGCCTGCTTATTTGTAAAACCTGCGCAGGGCCAGTCCAATAATCTGTAAGGCAGCAGTGCAAATCAGCAAGATTTCTGTACAGCGGGTGGTGGTGGTCAGCGAGCCTATGCATAGATAGGTACTCACTCTCCTGCCAAAGGAATAAAAGATGAAGTTCAGCATCCGTTGGAAACCCGATCTGTACTTACAGATCGTTTTAACTGCCTGTTGGTGAGCACCGAGTCATCCACAGGGGAAAATTTCCCTGTGTGCATCAGTTCTTACTACCAGGGCTTTTTTTTTTTTTTGCGTCTTTATCTGACGTTATGGGAGGAAGTGAGAGGCCTACTAGAGTTCAGTGCGGTGAGTGGGCTGGTGTACCAGCCTGCCTTTGAACTTTCTGATTTATTTATTTAATTTGGCACGGTGGCTGAGGAAAAACCGAAGAACAATGACAAGGCTTTGTGGGAAGCCCGAAGGATACTCCTTTCCAGGCATTAGAGGCAGCACGGGATCAGGCATGAAGGTGCTTGGCAGAGACGTAATCAGTGAGCAATGGAAGGGTGGCAGCCAATTTTTTGCGACTAAAATAGAAATGATGTCTGGGATTGATGGTAGATCGCACAGATTTTGATAGAAGTAGCTTATACTTGATGGGATAGAGAAAGTGGGGCAGTGCAAAGAATTGCCGAGTGGGGAGTGAGTGATAAAAATGATGGAAAAAGAAAATTCCCTTTGCAGCAAGGTCCTAAATAACCTGAAATGGGGCAGCACTGCCATTCTGGAGGACATAGAGTACGACGGTGTAGTAGTGAAGGAAAAAAAATGATGAGAGTCCTGACCAGACTTTTATTTGGATGGATGAATAGGAAGGGCTATGTCATAGGAAACAACAAACTATCTCCAAAATGATTATGTGTGAATACTGTTTGTTGCAGATGTCATTTTCCTTATCTGTTTTAAGACCAGGTGAAAAACATAACATAGGCACTGTGTGATAGTTTTATTTGTTTGTTTGCTTTCTTTAATATTGTATCAAAATTGAGGAAGCCATAGTCGATGTGCATTTAAACAAAATGACGTCGGGTAGGTTAGAATTACCCCATGGGGAGATCTCTGGGAAGCAGATTCACTTTGTGTTTTGGAAGACAAACTATTCAGGATGTTAGAACCTATAGAGGAAATAATACAAGAAGTAGCAATAATTTGCATGCTAAATGCTAAAATAGAAGACTGCTCAAAAAAGCTATTAAAAGGTTGATTTGAAACAGAACTTTTGCTAGATTTGTGTAGGTGAAGAGTCTAGAAGTGTTGTCTTTCTCGTATCGTGGTAGATGTGATAATTACTGTAGCTTTTTTCCAGACTAATTGTGTGCAAGATGAATAAAAGTCAAATCAGATTTCTTCAGAAAGAGAGGTAGTAAAAACTCCGAATGAAACAAAAGGTGAAGAAGAAGGAAATTAGTGGATTTCATGCCCCCCCATCAAAAAAAGCAGAAACAGCTAGTAGAGGCATCACTGAGGTGATACGGCTGCAGTTTGAATTACACTTCAAAACAGCACTGCTGCTCAAAGAAGCAGCCCTGCTTTCCCCCTCACCTCTCTCTTAACCACACACTTGCTAGTGCATGTGTTTGTGTGGTCTTAAACTGAAACAGAGTAAAGAACATTTACTAATGCATTGACAAAGAGTTACATGCTGGCATTTAGGCAGCATAGCATTTCATATTGCGAAGAAATAAGACGCACCCAAAAAAGCTAAAATTTGGGGGGAAGTGAGTAAAGACCCAGCACTGGGGAAATACTGAGACTTTGTCCAAGTTCCTTGATGCTGTCAGAAAATTCATCAACAAAATATGACACTATAAACCCTCTGGAGCAAAGGAAGACATTCTTGGGTCAGTTTTAGTTGTCCAGGTGAAATAGTGCTTTAAATCTTAGGCAATGTTCTCTGCAGTATCACCTCACAGCACAAAGGCAGTTGAAATGAAGTTAAAGGAAGAGACAGCTGGATTTTTAGTTCTGAAAATCATGTCCAACTTCTTTGGATAATTTTGTATGAAGCATTGAATTGCCAAAAATACTTACTGTAAACTTTACAGTTCTCACAGAACATTTGGCTGTCTTCATTGTGATTCATTTCAGATGCTATGGTCTATTAATAACAAAAATTATTGAAATACAGCACACAAGTTAAAATAAAATGTGCCTGGAACAAAGTCTAAATATAGAGAGTGGTATCAAGCAAGGCTACGTTTTCTCTTTGGCATTCTCTTTGAGTTTCTTGTGAGGAAAAAATGTTAGTGTAAGATAATGTAATTACTGAATAGCTGAATAGCAGTATGCTAGCGATGTCCAGAGCTGTCTCAGTGTAGTCTAGGTGAGCTACATAACAACTTAATTTACATTAATGTAGTGACCACAAGAATGTTTGGTTTTGGGCAGAATCGGTCGTCTTAGTCAGCTACGGATAAATACTCAACTAAATCCTATGAGGTCCCAATAAATCGATTAAGTCTTTATTTAACAATTAATGTTGCTTTTTTGTTTTTCTTTATTTTTTCCCCTCAGTTTACATACCTTAGCACAAGTGTGTGAATCAGTGGAAATATTTGGAGAGAAATAAGTTAATAAAATGACAGGAAAACAGCTGTATTCATTTACTGTTTAGAGAGGGTGGTTGAAGTGTCTACCTTAAAGTTATTAAGAAATGAAAATATTTGGTATGCTTGTGTTCCCGCAAAAAAAGTTTGTGTGTGCGTATGCTGGAGGATGCACAAGAGGGATCTACAAGAAGAGTTCTGCTGCTGAGCAGTATTCATGGGGGGGAAAATTCTTGTAATGTTTAACAGCACATCTGAAATATGACCAGATGGTGATGGTGGACCTTGTTTGTACACGAAATTTGACAGTATAAGAAGGGAGCAAAATCAGAAGGGAATCTTGAAGTCTTGATTTTTCTATTTTGGATAATTTAATTTTGATACTTTGTTTTTGTGCATGGCTTGGACAGATAATGCTGATTTTTTTTTTTTCCTCTTTGTTCTTGGCCTTGATTACACAGGCACAAAAATTTGAGTTGTTTTTTTTTTTTTTAAGCTGATTCATAATCTTTTTTTGTTTTTTAGGCTGTTGAAAATCTCTGTTCTTACAAAGTCTCTGCCACACTGTACAAACAGCTGCGACAAGTCTGTGAAGATCATGTGAAAGCACAAATCCTTCAATTTAGAGAATATCCTTTTCTCATGCACAGAAATGGTTAGAATGGCTAGTTTAAATCATTATTTTTTAAAACAACACTTTGTAAAACCTATACTAGTAATTGCCAATGTGTTAAAGAGTTTCTTTGTTGACCACTTAAATATTTTCAAATCAGGCATAAGCAACTTTAGTCAACTGGATGAATAATTTTTGTGTGCACATAAGTAGCATGCTAATAACAATTTACTTATTTTAATAGGAATGCAAATTTTACACCTTATCTAGAAAATTTCAGTAGCACTATAAGATTTAACAGCAGGTATGGATTTTTATGGCAGGTGAGTAGTGGAGATGCTTAACAGCAGCAATGGTTTAAAAAAAGAAAAAAAATCACCGCAGTAGTTTTCAACAACAGTGTCTTCCGTAAAAGAATTCTCAAACACAAAGTACACCTCTTTGACTAGTAATAACTACTGGTCAGCAGCGATGTGTCACAGAGACATTCAGCGAGCCCTTTAGGTATCTCATGTGTACCTTGGGAGTACACATGGGAGAGAGTACGCTATGTTCAGGAGATCACTTGGCTGTCTTGGGACGCACAGTAACCTGAAGTTTTATGGTAAATTTCCCCATAGTTTTCTCATGTTACATTGCTTGGCTTTTCTTCTGGCTGAACTGGTCACAGAAGTGCCTGTAGATCTTCTCTGGACACTTGGGTGTAGCTGTTTTCTGAACCTCATTGTGCTTTTCATGCTAGAGTGTTCTTTATGTGATAGTTGTCTTTTGTGTAGTAGCCTAGGGGTTGCACTTGCTCAGGCAGCAGCTCAGGATAAATAGAGTCTACGCCCAGCTGGCTGTCCCAGTGTTCTGGAGAGTGCCTTTGCAAACAGATGCTGGAGAGTGCCATCCTGAACAGATACTAAAGTACTTTAGGGGCTAGCAGTGTTTCCTAGGTCTCTATGTGTATTTTATTAGCAGAAAATGATAGCTGAAAATAGAGAGAAGCAAGGGAGTGGGGCCCAGAAAGAAGCTTCTTTCCGGGTGAATGCCTTAAATGTGCTTTGGTTTGTAACTTTAGGTTCACTGCATTCCCCAAGTAAGTGCCTATACCCGTAAAAAAGATGAATTTTTAAAAATTTTTTTCCCTGTTATCTCGCTAAATCCCAACATGGTTTTGCTTTGGTTTTTTTGAGTCTTAATTAAGGAGTGTGGCTTCTACGTAGCATATAAGAAACATTGGTACGTAAATCAGCATTGTGAATTCACCTTTTATATGGCAGCTGATTTTTTCATTACAGTTACTTGGATGCATTTAAAATCACATCTAACTAAAAAGTACATTAGTCAGTACAATAGTCTCTTAAACATAACTGATCTCTAAGAAACAAATCTTACAGTCTGCTTTAAAGAAGTACAGTCAAGCAATTTTTGCATCCCTGGCTTTTCAGACTTCAAGTGATCTTCTAAAGAGATGTTTTAAAACTGGTGTTTTAAAACTTTGCTTTTTCCCCACCTCTGACAGAACCGGTGGTTTGGAGAGTTGAGAATTTTATGTTTTACAGGTATATCACTTTATATCCCAAGGGCATGAGATCAGATTAATCAGATTTGGGCAGAGGGAGTTGGAGATGATACTAGGCAGGAAAGGAAGGTAAAGCCATGTTTGGATTTACTCATATGATACATTAGAATTCTGTTATTCATAAATAACAGCTGGATCTGTTGTGTCAGGAAGAAAACTGTATAGTTTACTTAGGGAGACCTGGAGACGTATATGAAAAGAGTGGTATTTGGATTTGTTGAGGATTATTGAGAACTGTAACTGCTTTTAAGAGATTAGGGTCACTCCTGTTGTGCACAGTGTGAACTCATTAAACAAACAAAATAAACCTTTCTATCCCTCTCACCTCAGTTGTTGACAAGGTTGTTTTTGACACTGGTGGGATTTCTTGTTTAAATCTATATCAAAGTTATACCGTACAGCCACTAGATGGTATTACTGAAGAGCAGTGAGTGTTATTCCTTGAAAACATAGGGAGGCCTTTTGGAGAACTGCCAGCCCCTCTGCTTTGCAATTAACCGTTTATCCCTAGGCAGTCCCAGTAACATCGGAATATCCATGGAGCAGCTTTGCTTAATGGCTGGCAAAGATCATGTCCAGAATCTGGCCTCAAAAGATGTCGGCAAGCTAGTTTTCCTTAATAGGTGCTGTACAGATTCTCTGGATAGTCTTTTATTTTTAAAGAAGATTAATAAATGCTGGCAAGATCATTGCAGACAAATGGTAAGTTGAGTGTTTGTTCAGAATACGTATCCTTGAGGTGTGAAATCTGGCAAAAAGGAGTCATGGTTTTAACTTGGGACTGCGTTGCACCTCCTCTTCCAAGTTTCAGCATTGCTTTTGACTTGCCTCTTTGCTAGCTGGGGGTGGTTTTGTTGTTGAAAACTTAAGTTCTGCTGTGTTGACTCTGACTTTCATAGGTTTCATGTCAATGTACTGACACCTGTTTTCTACGGGTGAAAGGAAAAACTAATCAGGCTATGCTGAAATTGTTTGCTCTTTGTAATTTTAAGTAATTGGAGAATCCACAATCTTTGCTTTTAGATAGCTCCAAGAGCTAGGTTAATTTGTGACTTTTTTTTTTTTTTTTTTGGTTTGCAAAGCAGAGATGATTATCCTGACTATAGGGCTAAGAAACAGGAAGATTAAAGAACTGAAACTCTCTCTCTTTTTGCCCTTCTTCTTGTCCTCTACCTCCACAATGAATTATGTTACAGAAGAAAATCCTGTCTCAAAGTCGCTCTGTGTGAATTGTCCCTTTAAGAACGCATCATTATAATTCTAAACCAGCATTTTACAATGAGTTTTCATTGCATTGTCACTTAGGTTTGGGTACAGATGCCCAAAATGGTTGCATTTCTATTTTCATTCCTCAAATCCGCCCCTCTCCCCTCCTCTGTGGGGGATAGGCAGAGGTACATGATTTTTATCTGAAATAAAAATGGAAAGCATTATGGAAACTATTCAAAACAAATTCAACAGTCTGATGAAAATAGAGTTGAATTTTAGTGCCTTAAAAATGTAATTAAACTGGACCTGTGTTTTTATAAAAAGGCTTTTACTATGAACTCTGTTCACTTCAATTACTTTTGAGTGTTCTTTTTTTTTTATTTTTTCTCCTCAAAGCAGCAACCTGTAGCAAGTGGCTTTCTTGCCCATGTGCTGAGTTAGCACTTGTGGTATTTAAGAGAAAAGAATCAGCCTCGCTGCTGTTTTACTTTAATATGCTTGGACAGAAACAGTGTCAGCTTGAGAATTGCTTCAGAAGCAATGAAACCTTTTAGGGGAGAAGTAGGTGAACAGCTGGGGATAGAAATCTCTGTAGCTGGCCTGGGGGCGAGTTAGTTGCTGACATCCTGAGTTATGCTAAACTGAAAGCTGGGCAGCCTTTTTATGAGCAAAGTTAAAAATGGATTTTGAATGTGAAAGAGTAATAAGCTTAAAAACCCATCTCCTTTTCCCACTTTTTTAATTAAAAAAAAAGATAATACATTTTTATACCTTCTTTCCCCTGTTAGAATTAATGTATCTCTATTTTTCTCATGAATTTTGGCAGCTAACTTTCATTATGAAAAGGTCTGTTGCATAGCTTATGACTGTCTCTGCTTAAAGCTTCTTTTTTTAAAAAGCAAAAACCATGGCAGCATGCTATTTCAGGGTGTTTACTGAATGTCTTGGTGGTACTGCTTGAATGGCTTCTGCATCTCAGTAGCACTAAAACTTGTTACAGGCTAATAAAACTATTTAGTTAATGGTTATGACTTTAAAAACTGTCTTGGATGTACACGGTAATACTGCTTAGTAATAGTACTAACATTAATAAATTACATATCGGTGGCTGTACAAGTCACCACAAAAGTTGAAAATACATGCATCGGTAATTAAGGTGCATGTCTACGTGATGTAGTTTTCAGAAGTTGCTTTATAATTTAAAGTGCCACATGACGGTGAAGAGAAACATTTTTTTAATATATTTTCAGATCATGATCAGAAGCATTTTCTTGTTTTTGGATCGTACTTACGTACTTCAGAATTCAATGCTTCCTTCTATATGGTAGGTATCCCTGTAAGTATTCCTCGAATCTTTAGAGTTTGAACATGCTATTATATTTGTAAAGGTTGAAAATAATTTTTCACATTATATTTGATCTGTGTAATAGATCTCTAAAATTTTGTGTTAATTTATGGAAATACGTGTGTCAGTGTACGTATGTGTCATTTCCTCCTTCCCTAGGAATATTCGTTGTAAAGTGAGGGTAAAAGAAGAAAAAGGTCTGTGAACATATGCTTAAAAGTCAAGGCATATATATAGCTGTAGATGTCACAGCCTGGGTGAGGCTGGCTGTGTGGGGAACCTCCTCGGGCTGATGCCTCTGCACCTTAACCCTGGGCCAAGTGTTACTTCAGGTGCTCCTGGTTTTGACAAAATTCAATGCTCAGCTTCTTGCTCAGTTGTTTTTTAAATAAGTCAGATACACTGACAAGGTGCAGATCATCTTTCCAGCATGGGCCTCTTGAGAGTCGAGACCTGTGGCTCAGAGCATTTTGATGAAAGTCAGCTCCCCTAGATGCTGCTGTACTTTCAGCACACCACAGTCACGTCTTTGGGCATTCTGTTTTTCAGCATCCCTCCTGAGAGGCATTTTATATCATCGCCTGAGCAAACAAACCTAGGCTTTGCCAAAAATTTCTGGTACCAGTACTCTATCTAAAGCAAAAAAAGATGTAGATAAAGTACTGAAGTGAGTGCGTGCCTTTTCCCTGCCTGGCTGGCTTCTGTACTCTCGGGAGTTCCTCAGGCTGTCAGAGAAACCTGGCATCCTTCTCCTACCACTTGCTTGTCCTGCGGACGTCTTTCTTCCTGACCTCTGCAGTAGTTTTCCTCCAACTCTTTGTGTTAGACTTCCTTTTACAGAATGTCATTGAAGGGATCTGTTCACACTCTGTGTCTTCCTCATACTGGGAAAATTTCACTTACTGAAATCCTGATGCACGTGAGGGCATTGGAGAGAACAAGTTTTACCTAAGATTCCTCTGTTTTCCTTGGCCAAGACAATGTTTAATAATTGGCTTCTTCATGGCATAGAGGCACCATTCCTCATCCTCTTAGAATGAAACAAGAATCTGATACAGGTGATCATAAGGTCCTAAATGTACAGAGAATTCATGCTTTTAAACAAAACTTATAAATTACGCATAGATTCTTATGTTAAGGGAATCTTATGTTAAGGTCTATGTTTAGGTTTTTTATTATTTTTATAATAGTAATTTTTTTAATAAACAGAGAATGTTATAGTCTATTATGTGAAATATGGTCAGGCTGGTCACAGTTCTTAGCTGAAGTGTGTGCATCTGGTAGCATTCTTGTTATACTTTTCTTAGTGGACAGTGTCAAAAGAATATACACACCATTAATATATTCTCTCTCTGTATAATATATACACACTATATATATATTTTATATGTGTTTATTTTTCTCAAACTGAGATACAGATTTTTGGAAAGGATCAACAGTGTGACTTACTAATTTTCAATATTCACACAGGGATATGGGGCTAGAGTTATTTAGAAATCACGTCATTAGTGACAAGCAAGTTCAAAACAAGGCTATTGATGGAATCCTCCTGCTGATCGAACGAGAACGGAATGGTGAAGCTGTGGACAGAAGTTTGCTGCGGAGCTTGTTGAGCATGCTCTCTGATCTCCAGGTGAGTACAGCAAACTTTACAAATAACACCTACATTTAGAAACAGAGTTTGGACTCTTCTAATTTGTGTGTAGTACAGAAATAATTTTATTCTTCTAGTAAATGTGCTTCAAAATCTAGCTATTAGACTGAAAGATGCACAATCTTTCATTCTGTGTTTGTACATGAGACCTCTTTGCCTGTTTTTCTTAGCTGACATAGTAGCCTACAGATTCTTAAATAATAGGTTTGCAAGTCTTTTAGTATGTGTGATATTTTGTCTGTCTTAATCACTGGTTTTCTAATCCTAGTGCTGGTTAAATGTAGCAACCAAAAAAGACCACCTCCGTCACTGTAAAAAGGCTTTTTGGAGTCCCGATCCTGGGTCTGTATCACAAAAACATCTTAGCAGAGATGCCAAGTATAGAATGAGATGTAAAGTTAAGGCCAACATTTTCAAGTAGATAAGGTCAATCTGTAACTTAGTGGAACATTATATTAACATAGATACTAAGTAACCATATAGAATAAAAAATGTTGTGCTTCTGACTCTGGTGTATGTTGTTCTCTGGTCAACATTGCAGATTTGTGCGATGTGCAATAAAACTTAGGAGCTGTCTTTCATTCTTACGAACTGTTGAGGTTGCTCCGTTTGCAAATGGTGTACAGTGTTAGGAAACTGGCTGAAGGTTTGAAATAGAGTTTGAAGAGGAAGACTGCATAGAAGACTATCAAATAGTCCTTTTTGGTCAGGCAGTTTACCTGCTTTTCTGCCTTTCATGTTAACCCTCCTGACTTTCATCCATAACTGTCTCTAGTGTACCAGAAAAAATTAATTATTCTGTTCAAGAGAGAAGACAAACTTCTATCAATGATTTTTCAGATCACGTAACCTGAAGGTGCGGGTCTGATTTGTGTGCTTTTTCCCACTTTTATTTTTCACATTGTTATTTGCCTTCTCTAACTGCATCAGATTCTTGTGGGTGTTGACTTTTTAACGTTATTTTTTAGCAATGTATTCTGCTAAAGATAATGTTCCCCCTTATTGGATCCTTCTAACAGAATTGGATTTAAGTCTGCATTCTCCTTCATTGGGTCAAAAGTATAGTTTTCTTTTTTCACTAGGGAAACTAACCTAATCTATCTGTTTTTTTATAATATCCATCACTTCACTGAGATAGAGATGTGCTTATAATCCTGTAATTTTACTCCAGGATCTCTGCTTCTCCCTCTTTCAACAGAAGTTAGCTTCTGGAGAAGTATTAATTAATAAAGCAAATCTTATATTTAATTTGAAAGCAATTAAGCTCCTACTCATTCCTGATTTTTAGGCAATTATGCAATTGAGAACCAGCTGCTGAAGGTTGATTCCTGCTTGCATAAGTCCTATTCTATATGCAGAAAATAGTTCTATATACTGTTATGTTAACGTTTTTCCAGTTATCCTGAAGGCAAGGAAGGTAAGAAATGAAATCTAGTATTTGACCATGTTGAACTTAGAGCTAGTGTAACAAGAAGGCTGAAGCAATGAGTTGATGTCTGCTTGTGATGCTGAATTAGTGAATTATTATACTCTGAACGCGTGTTGAGCCAGAGTTTTTGTATTTAAGCTTGCATTGAAAAAAATAAAACTCTTAAAAGTCCGTAAGAAAAAAAAACTGGTCAGAATGTAATAATGAGTTTTACAGCTCTGCTATATTTTTTTGGAAGAAGTAATTCCTTCTATTCTTCCACCACACTGAAGGAATCTTTCCTTTTTCTTTTTACTAGCTGTCCCGCTGTTTACATGTTATTCCCTAGCTACCTTCTCCAGATTGTTTTAACTATTGCATATAGTTGTCCTTTCTAACTTATCTCCCTTCTATACTAAACTGCTAATCATTATGCAGAAATTTTTTGATGTCTGTGATTGTTGTTGGTGCCCTTTTTTACACATCACCTTGCTCCTTCCCTGGAGAAAGAGACTTCACCTTGTTTGGTACAATTCTTTTTTCCTGCTTTTGGGCCACTGAGATAAACTGGCGGATCTGAAGATGCGTCACTGAGCATATTATTATTTTCTGATGGGAATTACCTGTTTTGTGCCAGTGTTTCACTAGGTGGAAGTATCTTACTGTTTTTTTGCCACAGAAATATCAGTGGGAGTCTTGAGCTCAGGTGGATTGGATGTCATTGCTGTGCTTATGTTGGGTACTGGTGTTGGTCTGTGTACCTTAAATAGAAGCCTGTCAATTCAGACGATTTGAGTACTGATGACTGAAACACGCTATTGCTGCACTGGGAAGTCAGCTCTGATCTCAGTCTTTCTAAAACCGGTGGGCAAACAGACTACTTCTGTGTTAATGTAATGTTACTCTGACATTTCTGATAACTGTGTGTATTCTTGAGATTTTACTTGCTCTATGCCTGACAGCCAAAATATGCTACCCTTACTGGCAGCTTAATGTAAGTAACTAAATTAATTTCTTGAGCAGGTTTACAAGGAGTCATTTGAACAGAGGTTTCTGGAAGAGACAAATTGCTTATATGCTGCAGAGGGCCAAAGATTAATGCAAGAAAGAGAGGTAGGTGCATGCTGTAGATGATTGCTTTTATGCTAGTTTTATCTGCTAGTGAGAACTTCTGGTAGTGCCATGGTGTATTAATGCTCAATGAAATTTCACTGGTGCCCAGGTACGCAAGCACACGTTCACAGGTTTTGATGGGGACTACACTACTGTATCAAAGTATCCAGATTGCCTTGGTGTTTGAAATATATAATTAAGGGTGGAGAAATCCAGTGACATTTTGTGTGCTAAAGTCACACTACCAGAAAGTCATTTTCACGTAAAGCTTAAAGATGTGCCACCAATATTATTTTTGCCTAAGAGCTGTGAAATATCCACTGGTATCATTCTGCTATGTGCTTAATACCTAAGTAAACCGTTTACTTTTTTACTCTGTCGTTGCATTTATTTTTTTGTTGTTTTGTTTCTTTTCCTTATTAGTTAAATAGACTTAAGACATTTTTGTTTACTGTCCTCTTGAGATAAAATTATGCTCTGCAGTGGGCAGCCTGCAAATGTGGTTATCTCTGAAAATGTGTATCAAAAGTCAAGTTTCGTGGTGGTCTAAAATACAGAAGACTACCTTTATTAATTCCATTTTAACATTGAGTCACTACAGACATTTTGAAAACGCCTGTTTACATTGCACTGAGGCGAATCCTTGTGTCTAATCCTGCTCCGTTCACCTCATTGCCTCGTGTTCCACTGGGACGTGAAGTGAAATGCTTCAACACAGATTTTGAGACCAAGAGTCTTGCTGCTTTTATACGCTTAGTGGAAAACTGTGGAAAACCACAAAAGGAGTAATGCCCTAACTTATACAGTGTATACATGTATATATTTATGAATGAGCGCGTAATGCATACACGTGCGTATGTACATGCATGTGTATGTGTGTGCATACATATATGTATATGCATGTATGCATAACTGTTTTGATCATTTTGAAGCCTGAGTTTCATACCTGTGTTGTAACATGTGCTAAATGTGTTAACTCTCCGTAGGGACAGATATTCCACTGGAGAAACTGCCATTGAAATAATAGAACTATATGGTTCACACCAACTGAAAATCTGCTCCATGATATTTTAAGGGCTAGCTTAGCTCAGAAGGGTTTTGAGAAAAAATTAGCTTCCTCTGAAAAATTCTCAGATTTCTGTTTTTCTCTTCTTTTCTGTCAGGTGCAGTTATAATACTTTTAATATTAAGTAGCATTGATTAATAAAAATATCGATTATGTAATACATAACAACATTCTGGTGGAATAGTCCTTTCCAATTTGTATTCTCTTTAAATTTGTAGCTTAAAATAATTGTCATGGAACAACATTATCTGCCTTTCTTACTTTTGTAGTTAAACTTGACATTCTTTTGTATCGCTAGGTCCCAGAATATCTTCACCATGTTAATAAACGTTTGGAAGAAGAAGGAGACAGAGTAATAACATATTTAGACCACAGCACACAGTGAGTACAATTTTGTCATTCTTCTTGTAACTCAAGCATCCATCATAAAACAGTGCGATTATCGGCGGTTGTAGAGAGACAGAGATTATTTCTGCGTTATCTTACAGATATTATCTTGTTGACAGTGCTTGTGATACAGTGTGGGTTTTTTAAGACTTTATTTTTGTCAAAACTGATTTCTTTAAAATCAAAATATACTTTGAATAAGAGGGGAGAAATTTGTCCAGGAAGATTCATGAGTGTATACTGAAGTTAACAAAACATTATATAAGAACTCAAATTTGCATTATCAAAGCAGCAGCTGATTTTAGCCATTCGTGTACTGATAACCAAATTAACCACAAATCTCTTGAGGAAAAGAAAGACTTATCAGGCAAAAAAAGAAAAGAAAAGGTTAAATTATGGTGTAGGATAGAGGACATGAACATCACTCATGAGCAGTCCAGGATGTACAGTAGATCAGCTTTGGTGCAACTGCTTCCAATGTATTGTGCAAGGTAGCTTGTCCTTTTTTTCACTCAGATGTTGAGTAATAGTGTGTGTTTTGCTGGGATAAGAATGTGCATTCAGGAAGTACTGCAGAGTCACTGACATGCTGTAAATCCATATATAATTTGTCCTGCAGTAAGCTGTTGCTTTTTTTTTTTTTTAAACAAAGAACATAGCAGTTAATAAAGAACATAATATTTTATTTCATTTTTTAGTTTTCTGGATGACATATTGGCATTTCATTGAGTGTTAAAAGAATAACTGAATAAAAATTATCTTTTTAACTTACTATTTTCTTCAGACATATTTTATATATATATACTCACACATGCGTTGCGTGTCATGGTACATATTTGAACTTGAATCTTCTTCCTGTAAATGCTGATTGCAGTGTGACTAGCTTTTTCTGGCAAAATCAGTGACATTAAAATATATGGAACTATTTCTATGTATAAAGTTAAAGCATATATATATTAATTTACTCTTTAAATTAAAAAAAAGGTTGATATCACATTTTCAGTCTAGATATACGTCAAGTCCTTGCTTTCATCCTCATCCTTGGTTAAAGGCTTAGAAACCTACTTTTAGAAGGCTTCGCACTAATTTCCTTTCTTTGCATTAAGAAACAGCAGTTCTTAAAATTAGTGCCCTTGAGTTGTCCTCAGGTCATACTGTCTCTCCAGGTGTGCATGAAAAGAGCAGAAAGGATGTTAAATTTAGCTACTGGGTTTGATCTTGAGATGGAAATGGTACTTCCAGGACAAAACCATCATGGGAAACACGAGTCATTGAAAATACTTCAAACCAGGTTTATGCAACACATGGAGAGTATGTTGTTGCAGCCCATAGAGGGATTTATTCAGCCCGTCAGTACATGATACAGTGACCAGAATAAGCATGTCGCTGGGTCAGTCAGTAGATGACCAAGGTAGATGACTTTGAGGCCATACGGAAGGTACCTTCAGGCTCATTCATCAGCTAGCAGTCAAGATAAATACTCATTCTGTCTGTCTGCTTGTTAGGAAATAGTGCTCTGCCTCTCAGTCTCAAGCAGACGAATTGTCCTTACTTCCCCTGTAGGCAGAATAGATCATCTGAGACAAAGAATGGTATTTTATACAACCTTGACTACTTCTACTGTTGGAGACAGTCAGCAGCTGTAGATAGCAGCTTAGATGGAAATTTCAGGGAATATGGAAGTGACTAGAAAAATGGCCATATGTGTTAAGACCAAGGGTCTGTCTAACTGGTATTTCATGTTCGCTTATGACCACTGGAGGGAAAGAATAGAATAAGTATATATGATGCCCTGATATTCTCCTAGTATCTGCCTGTTTTCAGCTCGGGGTGTTTTCTGAACCTGATGTGGTTTGTCTGTTTGGATCTCTTTCAAATACTTGCACTGTCTCACTGAGATTCACATAAGCTTTTCCATCTGTGCCAGCCTTTGGCAAAGCGTTCCACTGGTGCACTAGCCACCACATGATAATTGCCTCCTTTTGTTTAAGTCTGGCCCCCAGTACCATCACTGATGACCCCAGTTCTTGTATTGGAAGGGAAAGTAATCAGTAAGTTCCCTTCCATCTTTTCCCTGCCTGTCAATGCACTGTATCACTGCTAAGTCATCTCTTTCCCAGAAAGAAGAGTTCTAACACACGGAGTTGTTTCTTTTGTAGCTGCTGCTGCATACTTTGATCATCCCTGTTCCCTTCTCTGAACCTTTCCAAATTCTAATTTAATCTTTTTTAGATGAAGGCACTAAAACTGTATATTGTATGGAAGGTCAGGCAAATCATTGGTGGGGTGTTTCAGGAAAGGTGGTGTTTTAGCAAGGGTAGGACATAAACTGGATGCTGCTATGTAAAAGGCTTCCATCAATCCAAGTTGAGCACCTCTCTTCAGAAAAATCGAAATTAAGGTTCTGAGAACCAGTTTTATTAAACTTAACTCAGAAGGAAATGGTTGGTCTTTTGTTGTCAAATTGTAAGCAGTAGAAATTTAAACGTTGAAATGAATTATCCCTTTGCACTTCAGGCATTTCTTTCTTCTTTTAGGCTATAAAAGATGTAAAGGAAAACTTGCCATTATTTTTCATTCACTTTCCATTAAAGTGAATGTGTCAAAAAAATATTTCATTAATAGTAAAAAGTAGGGAAAATTTAAGGACAAATTTAAAATGTTTTGCAAATTTGAGTCTTGTGGTTCTAACTCAATTTATGCTTATGTAGGTGCATAACACAATTAGATTAAAAGTTTGAGTTTTGAACATCACCAGCATGTATTGTGTTGTTTTGGAGTTCAAACCCTTGGAGGTTTTTGTTTTGGTTTGCTGTTTTGTTTGTTTGCTTTGTTTGTTTCCAAGACAACATCAATTTTACTTTTTTCCAGAAACATTTTTGTATTGATTTTTGATATCTAAGCTTCTCTCTTCTACTGTGTAAGAACTTGCTTTTTAGTATTCAAACCTGAAATTCTTTTCTAATTACATACATTGGTTATTGTTTTCTTTCTCAACTTATATCACATGTGACATTTTTGTCTTAATTTGTAGCCTCTGTTTTAAGTAGAAAATTGTTGATTTTTTTAATATTATAATGTAAGTTATTCACAAATACATTGTGACAGGAGGCAATTCCCTTATACTCTAATACTTCTAATACACTTTTCTTGCCTTATTTAGGAAACCACTGATTGCTTCTGTGGAGAAACAGCTACTAGGAGAACACTTATCAGCTATTTTGCAAAAAGGTATTTTTTTTTTTTTAAATTAATGTAATCTCTGATAAGCAACAGATTCTCATACTCTGCAATAACTATAAACTCCACAGCTTTTATTTAAGGAGGTATATTAGCCATGGGGAAGACTTCCACAGATACAGAAAGCCAACCCACTGTGACAAGTAAATTGTATATGTGGAAACAAATATCTAAAATATAATTCCATATTTGTAAAGGTTGCTAAACCCCCTAAATCTCCTTTGATTTGCAGTGACACATTTGTTTATCAGTTGGATTAACCAGAAAGTATGTGGTCTTGTTTTAACCTGAACTTCTTCTTGGTTTATAATGTATATGTACCATTCATGTAAATGTGGAGAAATTTGTACATTTTTCTACTTACTACGTTTTAGGACTGTGGTGTTGTTGGATCAGCTTTTGCATTCTATGTCTGCACTTAAACTAAAAAAAAAAAAGAAAAAAGAAAAAAAAAAGTAAGTCTAACTTGCATAACTTTCTGCATTCATTTGATCCAGGCCACATTGTAATTTGCTTATGACATCCTAGTATTCCGTGCAAGTAGAAGATGATACTGCCTTTTGTAGGTTTTGTTCCTTAGGAGAAGGCATGTGATGTAGTCAGTTTGATGCGAGGGGGAAAAAAGCTTACAAATGCTTGTGTATGTGTAAGAAACTTTTCTGCTGTATTATTACAACTGCCATTGACTAGGTACTGGTGAGTTTTTTCATTGTGAGTATAATAAATTTTTCCAAGGCTGTGGCAGTGCTTTCTGGAAGTTGTGTGAAGCCTTGTCTCAGAGGAATTTCCTATATCTCTTTTTCATTTGTCAACTATGTGACAAAATAATTATTTCAGTCACACAGCTCATATGCCAGAGGAAGGGGGAAGGTTAAACTTTATAATCCAGGTTATAACAAAGCAATTAGTGTATTGGTGTCTTTAAATTAATAGGAAGTAATGCTTGAATGTGATGGAATGGGCACTTCTTAATTCCCTGTTCAGTGCCAAAAGAACGCCATTAACATGTGTAATCTGTCATCTTACATACTTTTAAAGTATGTCCATTATTCTGATATCTCAAAAGTTTAGGCGTATCTTAAAGTTTAGGAAATCTCAAAATATCATGCAAAAGCTTACCTGACATCATTCTTGAACATTGGTTGCCTTTCTGAACATGTAAGTTATAATATACAGTGAAAATATTTTTAAGATTAAGAATGTAGTAGAAATGGGATAGTTCCGTAGTTATTGAAAATCCTTTGCTATCTAATACCATTTAAAAATTGGAATTAATGCAGTGTATTTTGTGAAGTAGGACAGTTGTACAGTGTCAGCTACACTGATGATATGAATTGTCTACCTGTGTAAAATCGAGCTTTTTGGATTTTAAAAAATGCTGTAAATCTTTGATGCTACCCTCCCATATTACTAAAGCCTCCTTCACCAACACCAGGCAATGTATCTCCGATAACACTGGGACTGTATTCATCATACTCTCAAATGTAAAAATGTGTCTGTAGTTGTTATGCTTCATGTTTTGCCTTGAGCTTTGCTTCTCCATTCGTTAGTCCAAGGCCTAGTCTCATGTACGGTGAATTGATAAAGGCAAAAGTTGCTTGGAAGGAATTTGTAGTCTTGTGTTACTCCATCTGTATGAGCACAGACAATTCATAGCACGTTCTTAATCTAAAAGGATGGCTCACCACACTCCACAGAAAAAATATTGCAAAGTATTTATCTTTAGTTTAAATTTGGGGTAGTTTGCTTAGCTTACTGTTTCTGACATTCTTTAGAGGTTCTATGATATCTCTTGATAAAACTGTACCCTTCAAATCAAGCACTGTTCATAAACGTTCTGCAAAAGGGTCTTGTCTTTTGATATATTTCATAGAGATTTTTCTAATATATTTCTAACTGTATTTATTCAACTGTGTTCAAATTTGCTCTTTCTTCTAATTTTATTTTTTTAGGACTTGATAACCTGCTCGATGAAAATAGAATATCAGATTTGACCCAGACATACCAGCTGTTCAGCCGGGTAAAAGGTGGGCAGCAGATCCTTTTGCAACATTGGAGTGAATATATCAAGGTATTTCAAAGATCTCTTACTAATGTCAAAATTTATGCTATTATCATATATTTCTTCTATCAAAACCAAGAATAATATCATGTAGGTGTACACATCAAAATTCTGTTTTAAGCAAATACGGGGAGGGATGTTAATGCTTTCTCCCCAGTAACAGTCACATGATGAGAAACAGCAACACCTAAGTTTGGGTTTTAAATTTCTACTTGGAAATTGCTTTCCTTATAGGTTTGAATGTTATACAAGAAGTTATTTTGGTTTGCTTTGCTTTTAAATACAGCCACATGTACAAGTGTTTAGAGTATGCTGGATTGTACTACGTGTTGTGCTTTGCTACAAATACACTCAACTATTTACATATGTGCAAAATCGGTAGAACATCAGAATGTACCTATTCTACTGCAGGTTAGCAGTGCTACATGTGATCAACCTACAGCAATGCTGATTTTAAAATAGCTGTTTAAGCTATTTTGAACGGAATACTCGTCTTGAAAATAATCCATCATCCAAGTCATATTTAGATGCTTCAGGTTTGTTTTGCTAGGTGTAAAATGCATGTGATACACTGCCCCAGAGAACTTGCACTCTAGTGCTCTTTTAAGGTGAAAGCAGGAAAGCTTCACAAGAAGATATTTCTCTCCAGAGTTGATAATTCCCGATGTGGTAATTCTCTCCTGAATTGACCATCTGTTCATCGGCCTTCAGGACTAAGTGCACAACATCAGTTCATTTCAGAGGTGCCTTTCCTGCACACCCATGTCTTGAGTTCTGCATGGCGCACCAGTGCTCAGCCCACGCGTGTGGGACAGTCTCCCCTCTGCTCCCAGAACCAAGGTGCAGTTTGCTCCACAGGGTGTCGTCCTGTCTCCCCATATGCAGTCCGTGGATCCATAGGCAGCTTGGCCAATTGAACAGCTTGCCGTGGCCAAGAAGGAATATCTTTCTTCTTCCTTGCTCCCAGATCACACTCCTGACTTAATCCTTGTGCTGGCTGCCACTCCATAGACTCTTGTGATCTGTTTTAACACAGTACCTGGGCAAGGTCAGTTTCATGCCAGGTTGTGAGCTGAAGAGGCTTGCAGAAAAGTCCTGGTGCTGGCCCAAGGAAAGAAGCAGGAGTTTGGGACAGGTAGGAAAATAAGGGAAGGGGGACCAGAACCTCTCCTTTCACAGCAGCAAGTTGTTAAGTTGGCTTATCATACCTTATCTTGCAGAATCAGACCTCTTGTAGCTTTGTTTTGAAGAAATTTTTTTACAGACTTAAAAAGCTAGAAACTATTTTCTGTAGTGTCATACATCTCTTCCTTTCAAACATTCTGTATGACTGAATGCATTAAAGTGAGGCTTCAAGAACTTAGCTTTTATCATGTGAGCCAGTGTAAGAAAAACCACAGAGAGCATGCCACATAACTGGGGTGAAGGTCTGTGCTCTTAACTTTTTAATATTTCAGAGGTGCCACTTAGCTTTCTGTATCTCGGTTTGCCATTTGCAGAATGGGGGGAATGCCCTGCAATTTATGAACGTAACTGGTAGAGACTGTAAGATGTCCAAATGCTGTGTTAATGAAGGGGAAATTGTGCGAAGTGTAAGATATGATGGAGACTAGATGGTATTCAGAGGTCCCTTCCAACCCAAACCATTCTGTGATTCTGTGATAACACATGTTGAATCCAAGGACCTTGGGCAGCCTTATGTATTGCTTCAATCTGAAATGTTACTTGAGAAAGATCTCAATGAAAGATCACAGTGGATAACTAGATATTGAAGTGGAAATTCTGAGGTTTGGGAGGGATTTCCCCATCTCTGTTTGACTGTTGTTGTGGCTAACATACTTTAATTGATGAAAATACACCGATTGAATACTGTTCTGCTGTTACTGTGCAGATGTTCCTCTTTATCACCTTGGAAAACTGGTCATTCTGTCTAGCGTTACTAAGCAATTGTAAATTGTCCGGTAGGTTAAAATCTCCCTTACAGGATATTTTGGTTCACTAGACAAATGGTATTGTATCGCTAACTTAAAGATAATAAGTGTAGGAACAAGAAAAGAAAGTCAAATCTGTGGCTGCTTCTTGCGAATGGGAAAGTATTGTTTTATTGCAAGTCAGCTAGGTTTTTTTGCTTTTAAGCCCTTGCTGAAAGAGAGACCTTGGAGTGATGAGCAGCGGTTGAATTTTCGCCACCTGTTCCATCAATAGAGCTCTCTAGTGGATTTAAGAAAAATAGTGCAAAGTTTCCCATTACACTTAACATTTCTGAGGCAGTTTACATATAATTTCTTTTACATGAATCATGTAGTTCTGTATCTAACTGTAAACTTGCATATCATACAGTCATGTCTACTGTGTTTTTTTTTTTTTTAGCTTTTGTCTTAAATGTATATAATCTTTAAATCAAACACTAATGTTTTAAATTCATTAATGTGTGTCTGGGTTTTTATTTTAAATTTCAATGCATCTCATTTTTTGAAAACTTGAAGTCACATAAGTAGGTCTGTAAAAAAAATTATTCTTTCTAATATAAATTTTATAAGGGTGAATGTGTCTATTGGGGGAGATAGGTAGCGCTCTAAAGTATTTTATTATCAAAAGTGTTTGTTTTACAGAACTTTGGGACAACAATAGTGGTTAATCCTGAAAAGGACAAGGATATGGTGCAAGAGCTACTAGATTTTAAGGATAAAGTGGACCATATCATAGAAGTGTGCTTTCAGAAAAATGAAAAATTTATAAACTTGATGAAGGAGTCCTTTGAAACATTTATCAACAAGAGACCAAATAAGCCTGCAGAATTGATAGGTACACAAATATTTTTCTGTAAAATATCGCAAAAATCTATAGAAAGCATGATAAGATAATGCTGCTGATTGTGCTAGTGCAATAGTGATGCAGTACGCATTCTGCTTTAGGAGACTTGGTTTTGGGATATGAGGCAAAAGTTAACCTGGGAGCATTGTGGGTTCGAAAAGCTCGGGTGTGCTGTTAGGCGTGCACGCAGCGTCCTGACGGAGCATGCCAACTTCTGCTGTCCCTGCGCTCTGCTTCCTGCACGGTGCCTGGTGCTAACAACGGCTCAGAGAGCGTGATGCTGATGCTACGAGTGGAGTAAATGGTTAGGGGAAAGAAGAGCTGTGGGAAAAAAAGGGAACTGTTTTTAATTGTGGTAGTAGAGGAGTTCTTTGGATGTTATTACAGATCTCAGAAAGGACTGAGTACAGCCCATCTATCTGCCTTGAAGGCTGAAGTTGGGAGAACAATTTTAAAGCCTTCAGATACAAGGAGTTTTAATAGAGAGAAGGATTTTATTACCTTGAAGGGGGGAACTAGCGCTCATTAAGGGGAAAAATAATAAAAACATCTTAAAAATACTATTATTGGGTTTATCCCTGATCTGGCAAAAGCTGTTCCGCCTGTTTTGCCTGCAGCAAAACTGGAGCTGTGGCATTTTACACTGGGAGAGGTTCCCACTCCTTGGTTGGTTGTTTTTCCTCTGTACGTTCTTTTGCCTTTATTCAACTTATTTTGTGGCTTCCTTCTAAAACCAGCTTCATGTAGGACAAATTGCACAACCTAGTGATACAGGTTAAAGCCATGATACGGGCTGCTGTCATTTGTGGATTGTTTCAGCTCCTGCAAAGGTTTCCTTCTTACGCAGAAGGTTGTATAAGGATACTAATGTGGCTTAGTAAATACTTAGGTAAACTCATGGCTTAACCTTATTTCTGGCATTCTGAAGCTACCAACTTGAAAGCATTGCTTCTGTGTAAATTTTGGTATGCTCCTACCAAGGAGCATGAGGGACATTGTAAAGGTCTACAAAAATATAGTCCTCTTCATGTTCTATGTTTCTGTTTCTCGTAAAATACATTCATATGCATTGTACACTTCCAAAACATTGTCTTTCAACAAGTAATGTGCTTGCTATGACTATAACATAAAATGCAGGAATTTCTAATGCATTAATTTTAATGGTTATACTGTATTCATTTTTTTTCTTGGACAGTTCCTTTTTTTTGTGATATTTTTCCATTATGGCAGTAGTACAGTAGGGCTCTGTCACTCCACTGGACATAGGGATGGGAAAAGGGAAAATAGAAAATTTAACATTTATCCTATATTTTAACATACAATGATATTTAACATATAGTAATATTTCAAGTGGGAGATGCTTAAGTTGGTTATTTTAGATTTTTTTTTTTAAAGCTGTTAAACTGTTTTATTTATTTGTAGCAAAATACGTGGATTCCAAGTTAAGAGCTGGTAATAAAGAAGCAACAGATGAAGAGCTGGAAAGAATCCTTGACAAAATCATGATCATATTTAGATTCATTCATGGTAAGAAATATCAGTTCACAGTTGATGCAATTAAAACTGTTTTCCTTGCTACTAGCAGAACTGCATTCCTCTGAATGCAAGAGATCTTTTTTAGCATGGGTTTCTGCTTGACTTGGTCTTAAATTCAGGTTGCCTTACATCTGAAGGAGCACAATAAATACACCAGGGAGGACAAACTTGTTCTATGCAGACTGGCAAGTTACAGACCTTTTACAGTCTGTGAGTAGAGACCTAAGAGTTAGAGCTGTTGGTGGAAGGTTTTTTCACGTAAATTAACCGTATCTGTAACCACAACCTCTCCTCTAATGACAGAGAACAGAAAGATTAGTACAGATTTTCTCTTCCCTGCCCACCTCAGTATGTCGTAGGTGCAAAGTACATGAAAAGCCAGCAACTCATGACTTGTTTCTTCTCATCGTGGCTGAGAATGAACACAGAGGAGGGCTCAGAATAATGGGAGAAAATGTTATTGCTGTGTTTTATTGCCTTTGAAATGCACTTCCCTAGTGGATGTCCCTACCTGAGCAAAACCCTTCAATGTGCTAGGAGAAATTTTTTTTTTTTTTTTTTTTTTTTTCTCTCTAGGTTGGATATCAGAAAAAATATGTGATTGAGTCCAATAGAGATGCACGGTCACTGTTTTGAGGGAAGTGGGACGTGTATGCTGGGCTGGGGTGGAATAAGCAGGAACTACCCAATTCTGTATTAGTTTGTTCTGAGATCTGTGGGGTTCTTTCCTCATAAAATCCAAAACAAGTACAATATAATGGGAAAGCAGACAAGAAACCAGTCATAAAGTAGTATCATTTGCATCATGATTTTTTTCAAATGCAGAGGTTATTGGATGGAGATGGTGAATGAACACAGTATCACTGGCAACTTGTCAGCCTAAGAGATTAACTTCGTTAATCTGAAACTTTGACCAACTCTTTTTCTCTTAATATTTTTTGTAGTACTGAGCTAAAAGTGCAAATTTATTTTGAGCTATCTAATGTGTAAGAGTCCTTTTAAGAGCAGATGATAATCAGTAGTTATGTTCTGGCATTGGACTTTTCAATAGTATCTTGATGCCGTTTCATGAAACAGTACTTTACCAGAGGGCAGGATGGAGAAGGAAGAGTATCAGAGGAATTGCTACATTGGTAGGTGTTTGCAAAGAATTAGAAGGGGCTACTGTAGGCAGCGCAAATAGTGCCTTGAGTTACAGTGAATTTCTTCCTCTTAAGAGTGAAACAACTTTCTGATATCTTTGCGTTATCAACAGAAAAGATTTGCGGAAGCTCTGGTTTAAGGTCTGAAAGTTTGTGGGTGCCTCTGTGACTTTTTGATTTCAAAAAGCTATTGGCAAACCAAGTGAGATGACTTCTGTCAATTTTTCTTCACCTTAGGCTTTTAAAGATTATTTCTTTAATACATAGGAACCCTTTTTCTTTTTTTAATTTTAACAAATCAGACCACTAGAGGGAGAATGTTCTTCTGGACCCCAGAATAATTTCATGTGATTTGTAGCTGATCCAATGGGAAATATAAGGCAGCCCGTGTTCCTGCAAAAAAAAGAAAGAAAGAAGTAAAAATCTTGCAAAATATGTCAAGAAACTAATTAAAATGTAAAAAGAACAAGTTGTCTACATGTTTTTCTTCACTGTTGTGTAGTGAATATTGTTCTGCTGATCAACATGTCATGAGAAAGGCTTGCGTCACAAACTTGAAATGCAACGATGTATGATTTCAGTTGTATTTTATTTTTGTTTCAATTTCCATACAGGTAAAGATGTGTTTGAGGCATTTTATAAGAAAGACTTGGCCAAAAGACTGCTGGTTGGGAAAAGTGCATCAGTAGATGCTGAGAAGTCCATGTTGTCAAAGCTTAAACATGGTAGGCACCTTTAGATGTGTTACATTTTTATTACTTTTTTGGCATGTAAATTGGAATCCTTATTTTCTCATGCTTTAAGAAGTGACAAGCCAGATTTTAAGTAATAGCTGAGCATGTCACAGCTTTCATTGTGCTCAGTGAGAACTGTTGTGCTGACCTCTTAAATATACGACTGGTTCATTTAATGTACCTAGAGAGGAGCAAAATCCTTAAAACATGTATCTAGTTGTGGGTGCTCTGGAGCCTTGCAAATCTGGCTCAACTGTTTCAGGTTAAATCTTTATTGCTTGTTCTGTGCTTCTTTGTAATCGTGGGATCTTTGCTTTAATTCGTGTGACAGAATGTGGCGCTGCTTTTACCAGCAAACTGGAGGGCATGTTCAAGGACATGGAACTGTCAAAAGATGTCATGGTTCAGTTTAAGCAGGTACGTTTAGCTTGTGTTTGTGTGCTAAATTTTCAGTAGTGATGGGGAAGCACTTAATGGTGTTATACCTTGGATTAAGCTAAAATTAAATGAAACAGCTTTTGAACAGGTCCTGGTCATAGTAACGAAGTCTATTTATAGAACAGAATTTATTTATTGTATAACTATTCAGAGATAGTCTTATTTTCCAGTTTTATTTGTTTCCTTTTTAAGTAAATTACAGTCTAAATACCACACAGTAATTTAGTTGTCTAACATACTTTAAAGTCCATATCCCTTCATTCTGTAAACTTTTGCTTCTCTGATGAATTCTTTGTGAATGACCCACACCAGAGAAGCACCCTGAAGGTGCACAGAAACCATGTATGTCTCAGCCCCAAACCTTCCAACCTGTTGGTGACCGAGGGAATGCTTGGAGGAAATACTGTATATGCTCACCCTGTTGTTGCACTTCTCCTTGGGTACCTGTTTTGGGGCCTTACTGAAGACAGGGTACTGGGCTAGAGATCTGATCCAGGATACCTGCTCCTGTAATAAAATACTCTAGTGACTTTTCTGTCCCAGATTTTGCAGCCTGGCTTGACTGATGCTATGCTCAAATTATAAGAAAATGTATCATCTGATAGATGTGTGGAAGCCCCAGAGGATCCTTTTTGATTGTACAGTAGTTGCCCTGGCTCCTGATCAAAAGCTTTTCTTTTGCTTTATTTGCATGTGATTGAAGTTCCTTTGACCTTAATACCCTGTAAAGACAGTGGTGTAGGATACTTTAAGGCATGTTATACTTTTCTTTTTACTTCCAACCACTTGCTGTGTTTTGAAACTGGGGATGGGACCGGAGCAATAAATAGTCATGAAATTCAAAATCTTGGTACAGCATATCTAACCAAGGATGTGGCCTGTAGAAATTTTTCATTATTCTACCAACTTTAAATTTCTAATTTAAGTATATATATTTTCTAATTTAGCATGCAACAGTATGATTTTTTTTTTTTTAATTTTATTTTTATTTTTGTCTCTTGTATTTTAGTATATGCAGAACCAAAGTGACCCAGGAAATATAGACCTGACAGTAAATATATTAACTATGGGATATTGGCCAACTTACACACCTATGGAAGTCCACTTAAATTCAGAGGTTAGTGTTTGAATTCTCCTTCTAAATGCACTTTATGGAGTGGAATCATAATCACTATTATAGGGTGAACTAATGCCTTCATTTAATGTTTTTTCTGCTAGATATTTAAGAAGTTTATCTCATTTTAAAGATTCCAAAATTGCAAAAAATAAAATGTAGTGGATAAAATCCACTTTTTTGCAGTGATTGTTTAACTTTATATGGGTTTTTTCACCTTTATAATAATAATAATCATCATCATCATCTAAAATCAGTATTAAAATAAAATCAGTGTCCTATTTAACATTGTAGTCAAGCACTTAAAAGTTTAAAACTGGACAGTTCACCTTAATTTAGTCAATCTTTAACTACATTGGTTAGGCATTTTGATCTAGCCAATAGTTATGTTACTACACGTTCTTTTTTTTTCTGTAAGATCCTTCCTCTCTTCCCTGCAATGTGTCTCACAAAACTAGCCCCTGCATTTAAATAGCATTTGCATGAAAAAAAATTGCTTCCAAGTTCAGAGATTTTTTGCAAAGCTCCTATCAGTAGTGATTTAAATTGAAATATGTATTTGGAGTCCTGTTTACTGCAATACCTTGCTTGATCTGAACAAGCACTTCAGAAACTAAAGGTTAGCAATGTTCCCATTCAGTTCAGAAGCTGTGGAAGCTTTTGTGCTTTTGCTCCTGTGGCGTCTTTTCCTCCATAGCAGACTACTTCGGAAGGATCCAACCTGAGCAACACTTCATGAAAATGGAGGGGTAAAAACCCCTTGGAAATAAGAGGGTATAAAGTACTGGAATTAAGCTTGAATCTATATAGGGCAAACTAAAGGAAGAATTTGGGAGCAGATGGTAATAATCAGTGTATAGGTGTGTGATGTATGCTTTTTGTCCTGTGACTTCTTGGTTGAATGCGAAGTCCAGGACAAAAATAGTATTTATTTTAGAGGTTTAAAACCCCTTGGGGGGGGGAGGGTATTTTACTTTCATTATTAAAAAAGAAAAACACAAACAACAAACACACACCACCACCTCCCCCCCCCCAAAAAAAAAAAAAAAAAAAAAAAAACTAAACAGGGAAGTTAAAAGCTATACTTGAATTGAAGCTTTCTTTTGTGCACAGTAGTACTGGTGAATGTGAAAGCAGAATTTTGCTCTTTGGATTTAGTTTTTCACACAAACACTTACTATGAAGCATTGTTGAGAAGAACCAAAGAGATTACATATGTGAAATCATCCGGCTTCACTGCACTGGTATAATACTAATAAACTTTTTTATCTCTTTGCTTTACAGATGATAAAGCTTCAAGAGGTATTTAAAACCTTTTACCTGGGAAAACACAGTGGTCGAAAGCTTCAGTGGCAGACCACTTTAGGGCATGCTGTCCTAAAGGCGGAATTTAAGGAAGTAAGTTTGCTTGTTTAATGCTTAGCCTGTTAGGATAAAATTTAAGTCAATTATTTGCAATATAGTCATGCATTGTATTTTTTATAAAGGTAGTAATATTTTTGTGGAGGAACAATCACAATTCAGTATTGTTATTGTGTATAGAAAGTAGGCTTTTTATAATTAAATTGAAATACTACCTAGCTCACAGAAGACAACGTAATACGTTTTCGTAATATTTGTATTTGTTTGATAGGAATTGTTGCTCATTCAAATAAAGAAGTGATAAGGCAGTAAATTAATGAAAGAAAAAAAATGCAGCATCTTTCTATTTTTAATATGGAATTGTTTTGATCATAGAAATAACTGGTGACACTTCTAGAATGCTTCACTGATACAAGAAGAGACTAAAGGGTGTTAGTGATGTAATGACTGTGGTTAAAATTTAAATGCTTGTTGAATTATTTAAGTCTTAAATAACCACATTGTTTCTTAATGTGGTTTTGGTTTGTCTCATGGAATATCTTACTAATAATGCAGCTTAATTGAGCCAGAGCAAAGACCCCCAAAAAATTGAATTCTTTTACTAACTCATTATGAATATGAAACTTAGACATTTAGGCATTATGTAAAAGTAAGATGGATAGGTTTGTAGCTGTGGATTGACAGAGGTGTTTACAGCTGTCTGAAGAGTTTTGAGTTATTTATTTCCTTTCCATTGAATGTTTGTACAAACATTGTGCTACTGATAATACTGTTACTCTGTATCATAGTAAACCAAAATTATCTTTTGTTTCTTTCATATTTGATCCAATGCCGAGATGTCTTTTGTATTAGTTTGCTCATCTCTATAAAATGAAACTTTGGCGAAGTATGAAGAGATTCACTATTGATGGCAGCAAAGCCAGAATTTCATATACTGTAATTCAAATGAAGTAAATGATGTGAAGTAAATACAAGGCCATTCTAATGAACTTCTGCTGTGTGCTCTATCACTACTGTTAAAGTAGCAAAAAAAGAGGTTTTAAAAATATCCTGTTTCCTTGATACTGCCTTAGGGCAGATTCTTCTGTGTCCTAGGCATTCTAAAATGCACATGTCGTCTTCTAGAAATAAAAAAAGAATTTATAGCTTCTGTAGCTTGTCAGATATGGAGGATACAATGGAAATTGCTTTGAATATTACTTCTTAGGGAAAGAAAGAATTTCAAGTATCGCTCTTTCAGACATTAGTGTTGCTTATGTTTAATGAAGGAGATGAATTCAGTTTTGAAGAAATTAAAATGGCTACTGGTGTAGGTAGGAAGAATACTTTTTGATTCTTAAATTTTTTCGTCGAGTGATTGCCAATTATGATTTGGTATGTAAAGGCCTAATTTTAAGAAAATTGCCATGATCATTAGGACAAACATTACGAGCCAATAGTATATAGACACCAAAAGAGAAGATGAAAACACACTGCCGGTACTTCTAGTGTAGATAAAATAGATGCTTCACAAAATTAGTAGTAAGAGCCGTGTAGCATGTGATACTACTAACAACCTATTAGATTTACAAAATGTATCATTGCAATTCTTAAAATTCAAGTGGTGATAAAGACTGTTGTGTGTACAGATTATTTTTGTTCTACTGCAGTTTCAAATATTCTGCTTTGAAAATTGTCTGTTGTAGAATACTGTCATTTTGGGGTGATTCAAGAGAGTACTTTCAATTGAGCTGTACTGAGAGCTTGCCCACCTGTTTTCTATTACTGTTGCTGGAGTGCCCTATTTACAATAGGTCTGATTTGTTAAGAGCAGCAGTGTCCAGTAGGGCGTGTACTTTGTAGCTGTCTCCCTCAGCACTTGAAACCTGAAGGCAGAAAGGGCAAAGAAAACTGAGAAGTATAGGTTTCTTTTTAGCCACCTGCAGTATCTACCTTCTGTGTTCTTATGCTCTTGGGTGGGATTTTTTTTTTTAATTTTTACACTTCCTTGAAATAGTTACAGCCATTGGCATTAAAAATGATAACACTATCATCTCTTTACTCTCTGGAACTTCTGCATCAACCAGCAGTTCATACCCAGTAGCCCTTCACATGTTGAATCTTAAGATCAACCCAATACAACAACTGCTGAAAGAGTATTTGAACCCACAGAAGTACTAAATTATTGTAAATATATTTACTAAAATACTGTAAAATGGGGATATCAAGAATCCCCGTGGTTCAGAGTGATGCATTGCAGAAGGCAGTACAGCCCAGGTGCTCCAGCGTCTCAGCCTCGAAGCTTCAGGTTGCTTAGTCATCCACTCCATTAATGCTAAGGGAGCTGAAGAAAACTCATGCCAGCGTGAATGATAAGCATCAGGATCATCCGGAGAGGCTCATTAGGTCAGAGTACAATGGTTACAGAACAAACATAAGTTCACGCAAGCTTGATCCAGATACTGCTTTCTCATCTTGTATTGCTGTACCTCGGAGCTTGCATTCTGGCCGCCTGACAGCAACAGATAAAATCTGCTGCATGGAAATCCATTACATTATAGCACAATAGAAAGGATTTCAGTAGACTGTTTTTAAGGCAGCTGGTTAGAATTGATTGATAGTTGGGAGCTATCTATATTATGTTATGTCATTGCACTGAGTGCCACATCTGTGTTTCTCTCTCCTATGGGGAAATAGTGTAGGAATGCAGGTAATGGGGACAGTTCATGGTCCATGGGGTTCCCATGGGTCCAGGATGGATGACATAAAATCTCTGTCTTCCCAGGCTCTACCTACGCAAGGCATTTGGAGCTGGTTTAGAGAGGTCCCATTCCCACCTAGCAGTCTCTCCACTTCTAAAGGAGAGGAAACACTTATGGCCAGAAATTATCTCAAAAATAGGTCTGACACTGCGCCCTTCCTGCCTCCTGCTACTTGGATGATCCTTTTGCTCATCGGTACCCTGCTGAAGGCTGGTAACCCTGATAGAAAAGAACAGAGATTCAATTACTAGAAAAAGTAGCTGAATTTGTCATGCAGTTGCTTCGTGAATTGACCACTAAGGGCAGCAGTGCTGATGGCCAGACTCTCAGAGACTGATCTGGATGAACCAGAGGTCCTGGATCATGGATACAAATAACATAGGACATGGTGGAAATCCTGGAAGGCAAAACCTGGGCATTAGGGTTGCCATAGAAACCATTTCTAAATGTTCTAAACACCATGTGCAGGGCTAGACAGGCAGAATTGTAATGTATGCTTGAAAAAATGATGTATGGAAGAGGGTCTAGATTATTAGGAAGTAGGAAAGCCTTTGAAACAGGGGGAACCTGTACAAGAAGGATGGGCTCCATCTAAATTCAAAGCGAGTGAAGCTGCTGGCACACTAAAATGTTTTAGAAAGTCTGTAGGGTTTGTCAGACTTCTCCCTCCGCCATCTAAAAATAACATAGTAGATCCAATAAGAGTTCAGAGAATGGGAATAAAGATGGAAGACTGAATTCGTTTGTCTAGTTTATAATTTAAGTGAGCCTTGGTGCGATAAGAATGGCAAGTGACAAGAGCAATGCTCATTTTTTTATTTAGTTTTTAAGTTCATGGAGTAATTCTGTAGATTACTGCAGGGTAGCAGGTCTGCATTGGGAAGACAATAAGAGTTCAGAGAATGGGAATAAAGATGGAAGACTGAATTCGTTTGTCTAGTTTATAATTTAAGTGAGCCTTGGTGCGATAAGAATGGCAAGTGACAAGAGCAATGCTCATTTTTTTATTTAGTTTTTAAGTTCATGGAGTAATTCTGTAGATTCTTCTGTTGGGAAGAACAGAACTGGTAGGCTCATGGAAAACTGTCTGTTAGGGAAGAGCCAGCATGATTTATGCTCTAAAATAAACTAAGTTTTCATGGCTTGAGAGGGAAATTGCTCTTAGGGGTGAATAATTGATCAAAAGACAGAAAACAACAGGTAGAAATGAATGGGTAGCTTTCATAGTGAAAGGAAACTCCTATTTGGGATGCCCAGGTATTCAACATAGTCATTAAAGATCTGAAGAAGATGAATACTGATGTGACAGAATTTGATGTTGATTCCTTCGGAAGGTCAAATCTGAAACTTCTAAAAATGTTTAAAAAGGATCTCACACTGTTGAACAATTAGGAGATCAAATTGCATGCAGTGTTGATGAATATAAGGATGTCTGTAGTGGGGAAATAACCTTAACCACACGTCAAAGATTGGCTTTGTTAGATATGACTGCTCAGGAATGAAGTTGTGCAGTCATTGTGTCCCCTGAAAACATCAACTGAAAGTTCATCAGAAGGGCAAAAAGCGTGCTGGTAACTTTTGAGGAAGTTATTGAGAATAAAGCAGAAAGCATCATCGTGCTTTGTATGCTTGTGTTTGGATACTTCATAAATTTCAGGATAGCCCATCTTTGTAAGCGTATAGTAGAATTAGATAAGGACAAAGAAAGATGAAGAAGAAATATGGACAGTATCGAACAGTTCCCGTGCAGAGGATGGAGAGTTCATTTCTTAAACTTGGGGCATGCTAGTTTGGAGAGAAGTGAAAAGGAGGAAATACAATAGTCTGTAGAGTTATGAATGGCTTAGAGATGGTGAATAGTGAATTCACTAGCCATCACAGTACAAGAATTCAAGGATCTTTTAGCTTCTCCATTTGTTACTAGCCAAGTCAAAGAACCCATGTTGGGTGAGGCAGACATTTTGGTCCGATACATGTAACATATAATGTAGTTGTTCTCAACTGAAATGGAGTTAGCTGCCTGAGATTAATGGCAGGCCTTAAAATGCTGATTCTCAAACGTCAAATCAACTCAAATTAAGTCAGCCCCCAATTTCTTGCATGTACATTGATTTTTAATTGAGAACACCGTAAAGGTGAACATAAGTTATATTCTGCTTATTTAATGTGTTCCTGTGGACCTCTTACTATATAAGCATCATAAATAATGTACTGGAATGAGGTGTGAAACATTTGGGATTTTCTAGTGTTATAAAAATCTGCTTAGCAAGTTTGGTACTCTTTCTTCTCCTGTTGAAGCAGCTTTAGCAGTGCTTCTATGGGGGTTCATCAGGTCAATCAGTCATGTCTCCCCAGCTCCCTGCTGACTACAGCGGAATATAGTGCCAGTCAGGTAAACATTCATTTGTTTCACTCAGGAGTCACACTGCACTTAATATAAAGAAATGACCAGTCAGTATGGCAGAAACCAGTAAGACAGTATGACTTAAAACTTTCAGTCGCTTAAGCAAGTGCTTTCACAAAATAAAACCTAGCAATTTGTGTTCAGTGCTGCACCTGGCAGGATAGGACAGCCATGGCCAGAGTTCCAGTTCTTCAATACGTCTTCCATACATTCATAATCTACTATATATATATATGTTACAGAGGTGAATATGATAATATTCTGTGGTTCTGCTGTCCAGACACTTACTCATTTATGCGGCTTCAGTATTACTTACATTGCTGTGTTTACAGTATTACAAGTTAGTTTGTAAACGTCTTGCACTTGAAGTAAGTGGGTATCTGGATATCAAAACCCCTGTGTATTGAAACAGTTCGGGCAACTGGTCCCTACATGCATTTCTGACTTTGTCTATTGTATCTTTGTATTCCATTGCCATCTAACACAAAATACACATACTTTTGGGGGTCAAAAAGTCATACTCATATGACTTTTCCTCATGCTAAGTAGAAGAGTACCTCATGGGTGATTATCACATTATTTAAAAAAAAACAAAACAAAACAAAAAAACCACCAAAAAAACCAACAAAAAAACCCCAAACAAACAAAAAACAACAACAAAAACCAAACAAAACATCACATGGATTTCTGCCCCTTTGGGATATCACTGTCTTCATCTGCATTAACTGGCCATAGTTGGAACTTGTGTTTTCCAGTCACTGTTACAATAAATTATCACCAGTCTCTTTAAAGAGATGAGACTCTCTCTGGTACATTAGTGCAGTTAGAAAATGTATAAACTGTCACTCAGAGAAAGAATAGTTACCTTTTCTTTGGTAACTGTGCTGCTTTGAGGTGTGTTGTCCATATATACTCCATGTTTTTACCTGCCTTTCTTACTATCAAGAAAGCCTGTAGGAGCTGTAGGTTTTACTTTTACTTCAGTGATTGATAGGTAATTGCAGATTCCTTCCCTTTGGCATACTGTAACCTGCAACTTAGCATGCATGGCAGAAGCAAAGCTCCAAAGTATACCGAGTGTTTTTAACAGCATCCTTGTGTTTGGACAAAACCACAACTCAACAGTCTGCATTTACTGAAGGTGAAACACCCAAAAAGTGTGAAACATCATAAATGCCTGTTTAGTCAATGTGGTTTAATGGTTTTTCTAGTAATCATAGAACAGCTGGAAGTTTAAAAAAAGGAAAAGGTCACTATGTGAAAGTTAAACTATTTTAGAAATAATAACAGTTAATCTTTTACTCAGCTACACTGCACTTCAGCACTAGATTGCAAAACCTTTCTTTCAATTTTTAGACTAAAACTGTTCAGGAGATCCGACACATTTGGTGATAATTTTATATTGTGAATAAAAGTATTCTAGAGACTGCAGAGGCTGTTCTAATGCAAAATCTTGATACAAGACTTTGCAACATAATTATTAGAATGTTTTAGACTTCATTTTATCTACTTGTTCAAATGCTTTTAGCTTTAAATCTTACTAGATAAAATTTTCCTCACCCACTTGTTTCTACTACTTTCCTGTTGTGGGGGAAGTTTGTGAGTATAACAGCTGTCAGCTCTGCCTTCTCAAAAAACATCTTCCTATCAGCTTAGATTTCCTTTCTTTTTATTACATATTTTCTGGTGTGTGTTAAAAATAGTGATGAAATCATAAAATGGGTGGCTTGAGTTTCTTGTCATCAACTGATTTTTTTTTTTTTCCTAAAGTCCTGTTACTAACAAACAAAACTAAAGGAATAAAACCAGGCTCACGTTAATGTGAAATCCTTTCTGAAACTACTTTTGGATAGAAAGCTCACTGAGATGAGCCTGAGTCTGTCTTCCTGACATGTACAATTCATTGCATGCTCTCAGCACCTGTGAAAGAGACCAAGCTCGAAGGCTGTAAGTTGTTATCTAATTGCAACTTAGCTGGAAGAAGGCATTAACATAAAACCAGTAACTTTTCAATTGTATTTCTAGATTAATCACATGAAACTCTTCATGTTAATGTTTTGTTCTGCTTTCTCCCATACTTTGAACTTCTTCACAGAGGACAGTGAATTAAGAAGAACCTTGCAGTCTTTAGCTTGTGGAAAAGCACGAGTATTGATTAAAAATCCAAAGGGCAAGGATGTAGAAGATGGAGATAAATTCATCTTTAATGGTGATTTCAAGCATAAATTGTTTAGAATAAAGATCAATCAAATCCAAATGAAAGAAACAGTATGTATTTATTTTTTGCATTCATTCTCTTTGTTAACTATTTATCCACGTCCTACATGGAGAGACAGAATCTCTTGCATTTCCCCTCATAGTTTTTGCATATGGAGAAAGGAAACAGATATTTAATTTTTTTGGTAGTCAGGATGGCTCACAGAGGCAATAAAAATTTTAACACTCACTGAAATAGAAACAACTTAGGTTCCTTCCTGTGCTTGCAAATTTAAGTGCATATATATTAAACTGATGGGATCTTGTAGATGTTTCAGTCCATTTTAGAAGTTTTCATGGTATGGCTGAAGTGTTGGTACTATATTGAACTCATGAATCAAATGTCACCATGTCACTTCTTTATTTAGCGGGTAAGAGAGTTACTAAAGGCAGGGTTGTCCCTGTTTTTGCAGTGGATGTCTTTGTTGTACTTGAATCCCAATTCTTGACACAAGATGACATGTTTTAATTAACGTTGTGTTGTTTCCTTTCATCAAAAATCTGAAGTGAGTTTTTAAGATTTAGTTTAATTTATCGAATAGATTTAAAATAAGGCATACATTTTTTTTTTTCTTTACATTATCCTTAATTTTATCTTTGGCTTGCTTTAGCAGTACATGTCAGTTGTTAGCATGCAGTAATGCATGCATCTGTCTCAAAAATGAATAAGAATACGTGAGTTTCATTTCATTGGAAAGGTTACCTATAGAAATATAATTGATAAAAAAATAGCAAAAAAGGTGATATGATTTGTGGTGTTGTATTGTTCTTTAGGTCGAGGAACAAGTCAGCACAACTGAAAGAGTATTTCAAGACAGGCAGTATCAGATCGATGCTGCTATTGTACGAATAATGAAGATGAGAAAGACTCTTGGTCATAACCTCCTTGTTTCTGAATTGTATAATCAACTGAAATTTCCCGTAAAGGTAACCGATTTTGCTTTTCAATCCATCCTAGGATTATCTAAAAATATGTAATATATTTTTCCATTCAGCTGGTCCATAAGAGTAAGAAATGTGAAATATGTCTGAATCAAATCCAAAGATTAAGGTATTAAAATGAGTGTGTGAACAGAAATAAGCCAGAGTATCAGTAGGAAATATATGTAGATATTTACTATGGTGCATTTTCTTATGTAGCTGTTAGTAGTCCTATTTTTTAAAATGTATGTAAATGCAAATATATTTTTAACTGTTTTACTAATCTCATCTTTTCTTGTAGCCTGGAGACTTGAAAAAGAGGATTGAATCTCTCATTGACAGAGACTATATGGAGAGAGACAAAGACAACCCCAATCAGTACCACTATGTTGCATAATGAAGAGGAAATAATTTTACTTAAAACAAAAACAAAAAACAAAAACAAAAACAAAACCCAAACCCCCAAAATAAAAACCAAAATCATCCACATATATCTTCAGGACACCGAATACCTTTGCTGTTCCAGACTTTCCTTTTAGCAGATTTCAGGTTGATGTATATTATTCAACCAGCTGCATGCACTGCTGTGGAAGAGAAGCAAAATGATGTGTTAATTGATCATCCTTGTCAAGACTCCTTACAAATTTTAAACGTCATATTTTTATTTCTTTTAGTTACTCTTTTGTTCTTTTGGGTTCTTGAAAATTTAGTTTTACAGTTTTGTTTAACTCTGTCATTGAAGTTGAATGGAAAAGTAAAATTACCTGTGTGAGAAATACTTCTGTGATGGATGCAAGTCTGGTTTCTTCATTTATGTGTTCCTGACTGCATCCATAAAGACCCTATATGCTGCATTCTTTAGCTACAGTGACAACTTGGGTAACTTTTTAAAAACCCTTAACTGATGAACACTTATGTACAAGCAGTGTTGTTGAAATACACTGAATTTTTGAAATTATGCACCATGAAAACCCTTGAACTTGTGTTCAGTTAATTTTCTTGTAAATTATTATAAACTTCAGTCTGGTTTGGATAAATCAGGTTTTGAAGTGAGATCCTTGAAGTGCCAAGAGGACAACTGTGTTCATGTGTGTAGTGAGTTGTTGGATTATTTAGGTAAAATATGGATTATTATTTTATTACTACTTCTGCTGGCTTGGGTGGCAAAGATTAGATCGGAGTCAAAGAGGCCGTACCTCATTTTAGGGCAACTGGTGTTTATCACTGTTTATATAATTGCCGTAACATTTAGTTTTGCCTTTAAAATAATATACAGGGAACCTACTGTACAGCGTGCTCCACTTTAAAAAAACAAAAACCTTTTTTTTTTTAAAAATACTTTTATGGTCTCAATATTGTGAAAGCATAGTTTTTTGTCGTGAAAGACTAAGGATTTTGTGAGTACTTTGTTACATATTGTATATATGTAAGTTGATTTGACTTAAAGAATGAAAGACACTGTAGATCTGTTAGATAATTGTAACTATAAGGAAGACACCTTTTGTGGTAATACTTACAAGACACTGTTTATTTTCCGGATTTGCATACTGGTGTATTTCATTCTCAAAAAGACCTACCAAAGGAGTTTTGATCGTGGCATAAATGAGAATTTAATTAAGCAATATTTTCTTGAGAGAGATACCTTACTAAGTTTATGTAACATGGGTTTTGTGCATTAATTAAAAGGCCACCACCTCTTCTTAAAGTAAACATTGCTAAGAGTTGACATCTTGTGGATTTACATATTGAAGTCCATGTTCTGTCATCTGGTGTCATTAATTGTATTGCATTCTTCTGAATTATTTTTGTTCCCTTTGTGTTTAGAAACTAAACACATTTAGTTTATTGTATTTAAAACATATTTAATATTGTAATTTAATGTAGACTTATTTTAATATTTGAATCTTCAGTTAATGCAAATAAAATCTTTGATGCATATTAAATATTAATTTCTTAGCCTTTGTGAGAATGTGGCACTTCAGTTTATTTGTGCAGTTTGTTCTTTAGTGTTGATTATACCATTCACCTTGTAATTCACTTTCTATGCATATGGAAGCCGATCAGATCCATCTTACTAGACTTTTAAAACAAAAAGCAGTATGTGCCTCACAGAAATGCCACGGGCAGAGGCTTTATCCACACGGAAAGCTGGCAGCAGTGTGCAGTAACTGGTATCAAGCAGTGAATGTGTACTGCCTTCCCTTTCTGAACCCCAACTTCCTGGTTCGACGGTTTTAAACAATAGATTAAACGCAGTGGTGTTATCCTGAAGACAACTGAAGTGGGTCTGCCTTACGAAGTGATGTTAATTGATTAAAAGTGCTGAGATGTGCGGTTTTTCTTAATTGCCATAGACGAGAAGTCTTTGGCCAAATTACTCTGGTACAGCAATTAAAGATAAGTTGTTCCACGAGCAGTGGAAATAATGAAGCCTGTCTTTCTGTGATGTATGCCCTTTGTCTCCTACTGTATTATCCCTCCTAAATCACCTCAAGCAGCAGCCCTGCAGAGGGTTTTTCTGCTTAGTTCTCCCTTTCTGCTTGTGGGAGCATTGGTTTTTATTCTCTTTTACCCAGTTGCTGATCTCCACCCAACCCCTTACCCCCCAAACCTACAGAGAATGTAATGATCTCTGAAGTTTTTTACTCTTCCAAAATGGTCTGAAAGTGGCTTCAGAGATTCAAAAGCTATGGGAGAGGTGGACAGGCCCGGTGATCGTGACTCTCTTTTTCTCAGGTCCTCATTTTTAATTTGATTTCCTCAAATTTCTCTTCCTCGGATTTTGTATGTGCTGAACCAAACAGGTAAGCAGGTAGTTTATTAGTCAGCATGGTAATCACTACTTCATAGCAAAGTAGCTGCATTTGATTGCTTTTTGATAGCTGGTGATAGAATTTGGCTGAGCATCCAGTCTCAACCAGTTGTTGGTTTGATGTTGGCTATTTGGTTCACATCGCCCCCTGAGTGCATTTGTGCCCACAGGGCAGAGGTTGTTAAACGTTGCTTCCTGGACGATGAGCCAGTGTTGGAAGACATCAGGCTGCAGCAAAGTAACAGATTTCCTCTGTAGTGCATCTGTGTTCAGAAGATGTCTTGAAAACCTGGATCTTGGCAATTCAGCGTCCTTGGAATAAATTGTGTAGCAGCTTCTATGGAATGACAAAAATAACAGCAATCTGGGATGTGGGTAGGGCTCTCCAGTCTTAACCAAAACCTTCCCATTTAACTCGAAACTTTCCAATTCAACTCAGTTTAATTTAAACATTCAGATACCTCATCCAGACATATGTTACATGTATTTAAAAAGCAATTTTCCTAAATGTGACGCCCTGTCATTTAGGAGGGAACATTTCCGGAGGGAAAGCAAGCGTGAGAATGCAGGCTGACTTGCAGGTGCTTCCCAAGTCTGGCAATTAGAGCTCTCCTTACCAGCCACCAACAGCCTCCTTCCTGCCTGCTGCCTGTGTCCTGTTTTCTTAGTTCTGTATTTTAGCTTCCCCTGGATTCCTTTATCTGAACCCGGGTTTATCGTTTTACTCCCTTGGTCTGCTGCAGCTCCTTTCTTCCTTTCTTTGTGCTACGCATCTTTGAAAACACACCTTTCAGGCAACTTCAGTGCATCGATTTGTTGCGCAGCCAGACCTATTTGCAGGTGTATGATCTTTGGCAGGTGTGTTAGGGAGAGCGGACTCTGTACTATAACCTTGGTTATCTATTCCTAGCCTGTCTCTTCAGAAAGAAAATAACCTGGTGAAGTCAGATAATACGCAGCAAAAGGCTACAGGAAAAATGGAGTCATGTTTCGTGGAAATTCTTTCCTAGCAGAAATTCCCAACCCGTACTTTGTCTTCCATGCTAGTATTCTGCCTTGACTTTACAGAATAGTTTGTGTTGTAGTAACGGCTCCTAGATCTTGTAAGTATTTCCCATGTTCATCCCCATAAGCAGCCATTCTGCATCCGTGGCTCTTCAGGGCCAAGAGGTGTAACATGGTTAATTTGGAACTGCGTGCGGGCTGGTTGGCCAGCAGCTCTGCCAAATAAAAATGCGTAAGGGCTGGATATGGACCACATTTCCCTTGGCGACAGCACAAATTTGGATCTCCGGGCTGTGTATATACCAGCTTTTACAGAAGCTGTAACTTTATGTTTGTTTATGTCTTACCCTGCTATCATGTTTGATTGATGTTGGCCAACAAGTTATTGAGCAGTGAGGCTGATGGCCAACATGGTTGCATAAGACTTATTTCATTAGGAAAGCAGGCTAACAAACACCCTGGTAACATTTCTGCTGACAATGACATAGAGACTGGGGTTTGTGCAGTCTCTAGACCGCTATAAAAGGCTTAGTAAGCTAATGATCCACAGCATGTAAGATCAACATCATTCTCTGCTGATAGCCTTACGTTCTTTACTTACCAATTCTTGCCACAATATTGTTGCTTGATGCAACTTACATGCTGATATTAACTAGTCGTTATCCAAGTATATATCATTTTTCAATTTATAGACACCAATTTTCCAGTAGAGGGGCAGACTACTGCACAGCAAGTTTAAACCTGACATTGGGCCTCCCTCTCCGTTTTGTTTTCTGGCAGACTTCAAGCAGTCCGCAGACCTTCCTCTGCTCCCGGTGCAGTGATCCTCCACTCCCAAGAACAGTGATCAAAAAATGAGAACAGCCAGTGTCCAACCTCCATTAACCTCAACTCCTCTGCAAATGACTCACTCAAACACTTGACCAGAGCCGTTCCTTATGTCATTTTTCAGGCTGACTAACTTCTGCTTTTGGCAATACATGGCAAGAATGAAGATTGCTCGAAGTGCTGCAGGGAAAACCAACCAAACTAAAATAAAACATTTGCATCTCTAAAAATGCACAAATAAAAATGCAGCATTAAGAAAGAAATGTCTGTTTGTAGCAATAGTATTGAAAAAGAAAGGCAGATCCCCAAGCCACCCCGAAGAGCAAATAAACTCTAGGATGTTTCAGGGAAATACGAAGTGTAAGTGAACTGAGACAAACATCAGGGAAAGGTCATCAAGTTTAGAGTAGGTGGACTTGACTTTAGCAGCTGGTAGTAGCTAAATTGCATTTCAAGTTGGTTCTAAGTAAAAATGTATGAAGGCAGCTCAGGAGCATAAAGGATTCTGTCTCAGAGCTGATTAATCTGGAGTACACTGTAATGAGGAGGATGACATGGCAGTCATCTTGAGAAAGCAGAAGCACCCTGCTATTGGCACACTTTCCAAAAGTACTTGAAATAGGATTTCAGTAGCAAAAAAAGTACTTCTGAGGTTTCAGATGAAGAAAGCATATCCTTAACAGCTTCGATAAGAAAGAGCATTGAATTACAAAGTGATCAAATGGCCTGGGCTCTGTATCTCCATTACTATG